TTTAGGAATGCAGTTTTAAAATATTCAAACCCACATCCCTATTTGTCTTAATCAAACGATAGAGACAGGTAAAAAAAAACGACTTTATTACTTTGAAGCACCCACCGCAGCCTTCTTCACGGCCTTGTGGGCGGATATCTTCTTCGGCTTGAGCGCGGCGTGGGCGGCCTTGGGGGCGAGGCGTTTCTTGAGGTCATGCCAGCGCTTGGAGATCTCGCGTTGGCGCTCCTTGAGGGGCATCGCGCTCAATTCCTTGTTGAGCTGCTTGACAAAGGAGCGATACTTGTCCCCTGAGGGGTTGGGGAACTTGTTGGAGCGGGCAATCAGCGCCGCCCGCTGCGAGGCCGAAAGCTGCTTGTACTTCTTCGCGACCTCGGCCATGCTGAAGTGCGTCCCGGGCTTCCGTTTCGCCGTCACGTCCTTCAGAAAAAGAAGGTAGGGCGAGATCTTGCGGAAAATCGGAGTCGTGGAGAAGGACATGATGACGGCTGATTAGAAATAGCAATGGAAGGCTCAAATAATAAAATCTTTCCAGTAAAGAAGGGGGGGGGGGGGGGAAATAATTAAAAAAAAAGAAAGGAAGGGAGAATAAGAAGGCATAAAAATTGCAAAAAAGGGTAAAAAATCATATTCATAGAAATTCACACCCATGGAACACTAATAGACTAAAGGGGAAGGGTTATTATGGTTTTCTCGTTCGAAATAGTCATAATAATAATAAAAGAAAGGCTCTAAAAAGGTCAAGGAATGAAAAGAACAGCACGGTTTTCCATTTAAAATAGTGTTGGTCCGAGCACTCTTTGTTCAATTACTTATTCTTGCTTGAGTAGCATATATATTAATAAATTGGTAGTTTTCCATTTAGTGCGCACATTTTTTTTTGTGTGTGTGTATGTTTGAAAGGGGTATTTCATACTTGTAGTAAAGTTTTTCTTCTATATTATAAAGTCGACTAATACGCAATAGATAGAACATCTCTGTGTATCTTTCCTTATTGCTTTGCCTCAGATTTGCAGTTATTTCTATAGTATTTTTAACTTTCATCTATAAAATTCCCCTTTTAGATTTTTACCGCTTTGGTTTTTACAAGTCGAGAAGGGGAAGTACGTTTAATTACTTTGGTGTCGATTTTCAAAGCCTTGCCTGCACTCTTCGCCTTGGGTGCCTTGGGAATTCGAACGGTGCCTTTTTGTTTTAGCTCAGACCACAGTTTCGCCACCTTTTGCTGCCGCTCCTTGTTGGGTAAGTGCAAAAACCGGCAAGCGTATTCCTTCTGAAAGCGATTATAGGCATCTAATGAGGGGTAAGACAAGCCTTGTGCTCGTTTGGTCAGTTCCGCCTTCTCCTTAGCACTAAGCTTCTTATAGGCCGCCGATGCAATCTTGGCGGCGTTAATAGTCCCAACCAGTTTGTTCTGACGAGCCAGATCGCTCATATAAATGGAGAACGTGCTCACACGGCAGAGACCAAGACTGCGGCGAAGCATCTTTTGGGGGTATCAATCGTTACGAATTTCAAGCAGATCTATGTACGGAAGCTCCTATGTGAGCAATACTATCTAATGTGTGTTCAACCGGCGAATGGATGCTTTTTTTTTCCTGCGAACTCAGTTAGGTTGTGAGTCTTGTTAGGAAAATTGTCGGCTGATATGTCTATAGTGCTGTTGGCTTTTTTTTTTACTGACCTAAATTTGAAAACTTGTGGCAAAAAAAAAAAGACAGCGATAAAACATAAATTAGAATTATAAAAATGCCGCGGTGGGTTATTCAGAGGTCTTCATCATGGTCACTTGTACATGTGTACACACAGAAGACTACACTTCGTTTATCGATTTATATTTTTGAATATGACTCTACATGAACTGGGGAAATTGATATGTGAAAAGAACAAAAAAAAACATCGAATAGATGGTTAAAAGCAACTAAATAAAAAACGACACTTTACTTGCCGGGTTTCCTTCTCTTATCATTTTTTCGGCGTATTTCGGGGATTACGATATCATTTGGCACTGATGGCAAATCCTTTGGGAAAAAACTTGTCCATGCCGGTGGCTCCCCCAGAGTTCGGCTTTGCAGAAGAGAAGACTGCAGCGACAGGAAACGAGACGCGGCCTCGCATCCTGACGGATGTTGAAAGCCGTTAAGGATTAAAAATGAGGTGTTGGTTCCTAAGGCCAAATCCACTACCGCCTCCGCAGGCCGGACGTGAGGCACCTGCACCATACTCACCGCCCGTCCCCCTGCGCGGATGGTCTGGCTTAGACGCATTAACCGTGTGAGCGAGCCAACGGCATCCGGGCAGAGCACCAAATTCTGCGTCCATACCCGCTGAATCCCACTTGAAATTCGCTCCTCCACGTCGTAGGGCTTGTTCAGGCAGTCGTACAGGCCATACCCCGAAACAATGCCGCCCCAGTCAAGCTGCTCTTTGAGCATTCCCTGCAAGCGATGCAGGCCTTCCTCGTCCTGGGCGCTGTGGGTGTCCTCAAGATAGACCAAGGTCCCGCCCGTTTTCTCCACCTGCTGGGTGAGATAGAGGGCCACCTGCGCCCCCGTGACGTCTGTATCCCCCGGGTGAAGGGCGTACATGATATCCGGTATCCCTACCAGCGAATGCTGCAGGGGTTTCTTCCGCATACTCCCGGAGGCCTGCTTTTTCCCCATCCCGGGCTCCTTGGCCGAATGCGGGGGAAAGATACTGCCGGTGCTGCCATCCAAGGCGCTGCGCTGCACCGTCGGGCACTGCAGGCGGACCCCAAAACACACCTCCTTCCCGGGCTTCACCCCGACCTGCTGGAGGACTTCGCTCGCCAGGGCCACGGCGTCCCCTACACTCTCCAGCGGCGAGTCCAACACGCAGGCGCCGTCCTCCCGCATCGCCCCGCGCCGCCTCGCCAGGACGCGGTAGGCGGCGGCGATTTGGCCCAACAACTCCGTCCGAAGGGCGCGCTCGCGCT